GTCAATAAAGTGCGCCCTCTCTAATGAGATCAGTTTTTGTACTTCGCATCTCGCACAATGCGGTCGTTCGATTAGGCTGAGATGTTTGTTTTAGTGTCGAAATCTCAGTCAGAATCAGTTTTTTAAAAAATTTGAAATAATTTCTATGAAATATTATATTTCACAAGTGTCAATACTAGCAACGGAAAATATCATGTCGGCCGTATTTATGTGTGATAACAGAACCTAAATAGAGGTAAGGCTAGGCCTAGCCTAGCAGCATTGGATAGGTTAATGTTTTCGGCGCCTACAATATTTCATGTAAAAACAAAAATATCATTTGCAATTAATCCATGGAGGTAGTATGCAGAATATTCTGAAATAAACTTGACATGAATAAATGTAAAAAAAAAGCTACAGTTTGTATATTTAATTTGTGTCTACTTCGTCTAAAATTCGACTTGTGTATAATGGACTGTGCCAAATCCTGCTCAGGGAGATGTGCATTCATGCAAACGAAGTATAGTAGATCTATACACAGATAGAGCGTTGCTTGAAATCGGGCAGACGCGTTCATTACAGTATTCTATTGTACTGTACTTTAGTACAAAGATCGATGAAGCATTTGGAAGCTCTGCACTACTCTAAAGTCATTTTGAGCGATGCCCGACCATGCCAACTTTGTTCTCGTCGGGATCATCGGCCTCCATCGGTAAAATTCCGGTCCCCACCTTATTTTTTTTACCTAAATTGATGGTAGCGTTCCTTATACAGTATATTTATTTAGCTATAATGTCTTCTCCTCGAAAACTGTTAAAAAGAAATATCAAATTTGGGGCGGGGATTGTACAGTATTTCAGTTAAGATACATTGGCAGTGTTACACAAAATACAGTTTCGAAACAACAAAGCTACTGATGTCTTGTCCAGTATCTGATCTAGTCTACATTATTATCCACATTTGTCCAAAATACGATGCATTCTATGTTTTAATGGTTCACTTTCGTGTTTCTGTTGACCTTAGTCCTGGTCATTTAGGCCAGTAAACAGGTGGCGTTACTGTTAATATTAGGCCATGCTGACCCAAGCTTGTTCAAATTATCTTCTTTTTAATTAAAATCTACCATATTATACAGAATTCAACATGTTAGTTCAAAACTCTAGGCTCTGAGATAATAATTGGAATGCCATCATTTTAAAATATTCATGTTAATAATGACCTATCATTAACAATCAAACTTGATTAAAATACATTTTAAAGGAAAACATGACAATTTTACTACATCAGTATTTTATTAAAATACATGTACTGACATCTTTTTGTAGCTTTACACCTTTTGCCTGAAGATTCCATCTTTTTCACGCTACTGCATACAAATCTTGATAAATGATTGATGTATAATTTCTCTCTCCAGTTAAAGGTAGAAATGAGAACGATTTTACTTAACAACCGATTATTATAACTCCAGTTACATAACTTTCTATTGTTTTGACCAATGAGATTCGGGTATACATGGCATATCTTTTTTCGGTCATAGAGATAGGGTGGTTAGGTTACATCATGATCTTATCTTAACTTTAACTAGACCTCTGTGAGGGCCAAGGTTCCTGTGCGGGCATTCGTAAAATATTGCACTACTGTATTTTCGATGATGTAGACATGGTAACTAACGAGGGAGTGCTCGTGTTAATTTGAGATGACAAACACATTTAAGGGCAGATGAGATAGTTTCAGTTCTATTG